TTTGCTTGCATTATCATTCTACTTCCACTCCTATAACTTATTTCTCTGGTTTGTATCTTTCTATATCTGTTTTAAGATATGTTAATTAACCAACTGGGTGATTTCAAAGAAGATTTTGCCAATCCTTCATTCCCATTCTTTTAGAACCTGAGCAAGGATTTAAGTACCAGTGTTTATTCTGGCTGCTGTCCCAGGGCAGCCCGAGTGAGGGAAAGGAAAGTGAGGCCTGAAGAATGGGAAACAATGTGAGATAATGTGTTTCCATACCGGCCACTGCTTCCTGCTAAGCCACAGTGGCACAGCCACACGGATGTTTCTGGAGAGGCTGCACAAGCAGTTGTTCCTCTAAATAGCTCACTGGAGGGAGAAAAGGAGAAGGAATTTATCTGCTAAGCTTCCTCTCATCTCATGAGTCCCAGATTTTCTCCATTGAAGATAATTCTTCTGCATTTCAGATTACATTAACCAGTTGTTTTAGTACCTGCTTCAGAAGCCAAATCCTTGACATGTTTGACATGTCATTGAACTCTAAGTGGCAGGAAGAGCCTAAGACTTGAAGTTTGTGCAATGAGCCTCAGGCAGCAGAACCAAGAAGGCCACCATGAAGCCAGTGAGCTCAACAGCAGCAGCAAAGAATTGAGGACCCGAGAGAGAGTGACTGAGTGAGAGAGCACTGAGTGGCTCTGATACACATCACATGTCATGTATAATAACATTAAATTCAGCCCCATATATGCATCCCCTATCCCCGCTACTCTCCACTTGTTTTCCCTTCCAAAGCTGTCGATTATCCTTCACTGGTTCTGAGCATTTCTGCACATTTGTCTTTGGTCATTGTTTCCCCATTTCATTTTCTTTATTCTCCTCCTAGAATCTCTACCTTGGCTGCCTCTCAGCTCCAAGCATGGGTGCTTCACTCCATGCCTGAGCTTCCCTGTTGGTATAAGCTGCCTGACACACCCCAAGCACAGCCAGCTTCTCCATTCTCTCCAAGCTCTCAGAAATTTAGTATTTATTTCTATTTGTTCATATAATTCTCTATCTATATTGTAGGCTTATTGCAAGCAGGTATCATGTCTTTTGTGGAAACACAGCCAGTTATTATAACAAAAGAACTTTGGATGGGGAACAAAAGCTCAGGTTTTGTGGAACAACCATGTCACAGTTATCTTGGGCAGGCCAAATAAACGCTTTCAGCCTCAATTTTATTATCCATAAAATGGGGATTAAATACCATGCTGAATAGTTATGAGGATCAAATCAGCTGTGTGCAAAGAATCTTGGAAACACATATGCTATACAAATATAGTACAATATTATTATCATAATCAATTGTCTAAAAGTCATTCCATCATGGAATCACAGTATTTTGGGGTGAATGGGACCTGGTAATCTCTAACACAAGACTGCCCTTTTGTAAGTGAACAGTCTGTAGCAGAGAAGCCATTTTAATCATCAAGGCAATTCTTTTGAGATAGTATTATTATCGTATGTTTTTAGAGGGGGAAACCGAGGCTCCAAGAGGTTATGTAACTTACCCAAGGTCACCTAGCAAATATTAACATGTGGCATTGCAAGTCTAGGAATGCAGGGCTGTCCACGTCCAGGGCCCAGACTTTTAACTACTGTGCTGCAGTGCCTACCCCAGCTTTCCCAGCAAGCCAGTGTCTGAGTCGGGCTTGGACTCCAGGTTCCCAAAGTCCCAGTCGACAAAGCTCCCCAGCAGATTTTCCCATTCCAACTTGCCAGCAACAGTGTTACATCTCAGAGTCAAATTCTCTGCGAGGGGCTTTTCAGGCTAATGTGCTTAGAGATCTCCCCAGGTTCTAGCAAGACTAAATGAGCTTTAAAAAAGACTTGTTAATTGCGAATGGAGATGGTGCGTAGCGGTTAAGAATATGCAGTTTCTGGAGCCTTTCTGCCTGGGTTCTAATCCCAGTCTCACCCCTAAACCTGCTGTTGACCTTGGGCAAGTTACTTCCCCTCTCAAGGAGTCAGCCACTTCATGCATAGAAGAAGGAAAAGAATAATCTCCACCTTATAGGGTTTTTATGAGGTTTAAACAAACTTAGAGTCTGCCTGGGCACATGGAAAACAATGTTTTTTGTTAAATAAAATAATAAGTTACTGGGTTTTATTTTGCAATTCAGATTTAATGGACTATCATTATTAAATAAGAAACCAAAAGAAAAACACAACATGGCAGGATTTCCTTTAAAACTAAATAAGCTGTGTTGATAGGATTGCAAAATCGTCACTTTTCTCTTAAGAAATACTCAGTTTTAGGGTGCTTTTGTGGAGTTTTGTTCCGAGGGAGACCTTTTTTCACCTGACTTGAGAAAGGCAGTTCAGTTTGCCTGTCAGAGAGCCCATGGGTCGGTTCCAGGACGAATTCCCAGAACTCTGGGCGTGTCTAGAAGGCATTGACATGGGTCGAAGCTGTGTGCACGGCCCTGTGGGCAGTGGTGCTCCATTGTGCACTTTTGGCCCTCTGATGTCACACAGAGGATTGAAATCTAGACTCAACCAACCATAATGAAGTAACTACTTTGTGGGATACCCTGTGCTTTTGACATTTCTGTAGTAATTTTGAACAAAGTAACTTCTGAGGTGATTACATGAGAAGAGCAAGGCCTTTATTGCTTTTTAAAACTATTTTCCTTTGCTTAGTTGAATGTGTATATTTAGAGGGGAAAAAGAAATTTCATGCATTGTTTTGGCTGTGTATATAGCATGCAGTCTGCTGGTGATGGAAATTTAACAGGTTAAAGAGAATGATTAGTTTTGTGATAATGTCTTGAAGATATACAATAATATTTTCTAGGCTTTTGTTTTCTAGAAATTAATTGGTTTTTAAATGGCCATTATCCATGAAGTAATTATTTTGTATATGAACATGGGCAGAACAATTTTCTCCTTATTATCCATGGAAAATATATAGCAGTTTAAAGAGCAGGTATTTTAAAGGCATTTTGTATAAATATAGAAAAACAGCAGTAAGTGGCTTTGAGTCACTCTTCCACTAAATGTAAGTTTCAATGTTTATGTGCCAGGCAAATGTCATTAAAGGAAAGTAGACATTCATCTAGCTGATATATTGCTGCCTCCGGCTGCTAAGAGAAGCTCATACAGTCCTCTGCAAATGTAGGTGCAGGGGGTGGATGGGTATTACACTGCCAAATGTGCTGTTCGTGCTGAATTGTTTTCTAACCAGCCAGTGCTACTTGCCTGCTATTTCTTCATCTTCTCCTTCTTTGTCTGATACTCTCCTCGTTTTTACATTACTTTTCCTCTCTCTTTTCATGATTCTGTTGGTTTGGCTCTCCATTTCTAGAATACCCACTTCATTTCGAGATTGAAATCTGTGGTCAGATTTCATACTCTTCTACAGTAAAATGGAGTGCGTCAGTAGTAGCATTTTATTGAAATTCACACTGTTTGGCTTCATTATCCAAAATCTGAGACTTACTAATTATGAAACATGAAATTTAAACAAACATCTAATGCCAGAAAACTCTGGGTTCTTTAAAAATATCTATCTATATATATAGAGAGAGATAGATATATCATGTAGACTTTGAACTATCTTAACATTGAGGTTGTTTTATATAAGCCAGATCACCACTTAGAAATAAATTAATCACAACTGTCACTGATCATAATTTATGCCTCTTTCTAGATTTTTTCTGAACATTGTTATAGAAAGAAATTCCTTATATTCAGTTTGATTCTTTAGCATCATAAAAATTCATTCAGGAAAGTTTGATGAATAACAGAAGAAATCTTTATTTGCTGCCCCAAATCTTAATTTATACTCTGTACATAATACCTAAATGTATGTCTAAGTTAATACTGTCAGTTTTCCATGGCAAAAAGAGGCTATTTCAAGATTGAAATTATTAAAACTTCATATTTTCAATTCCTAAATATCTCAAATTGATAGCAATTAATATAAATCCATAATGGTTAATAGCTAAGGGATAAATTTGGCTGTGTCATAAACAGATCATCATATTATACCCAGAGGTGATTTTTACATCTCTATCAACAGTCTTTTTTGAGACTGAGGGATTGTGCAAAAGATCTGTGTAGAAGGCTGGCAATTTGGGGCAGATGTGTATCTATACCTCCAGCAACACTGATTGTAATTTAACTATAAAAATGTTGCAACCATCTGGGTAGCAAAACAGCTAAAGTCTGCTCTTGCCTGTGATTAAGTGTGGAGGAGATTTGTTTGACTTCGTAGACACCAGATTTATAAAAAGGAGATACGTTAAGCAGTAACTACATGGCATGCAGCCGGATGCCTCTATAACCAACTTCCTGGGATGGCCTTCCCAAAGACACTGAAGTGTAGCACTCAGGTGTGTCTTAGTCCTTGCATGACACAGTACCACTGGATTTTGTCAGTTCTACCTTGAGAGTAAAGCTCTGATTTTCATAGACAATCTAATCTGTAGAAAGAAAGAACATTTTTAAAGGTGTGGACAAAAGTCCTTTCTATTAATGTGTAGCTCTTACCAATTTTTCAGAAAGAAACCAGATTACAGCCTCACAGGCATAGAATCTTCTAACATTGAAAGTTAAAGCTGATCTCTTCATGAAGAAAAACTCACTAACCTTTCAGACTATTTTAGAATCAATTCTTGAGGCCACATCTTCTTCTTGATTTATATAAATGTTTGGCTGTGTACCTCCAGTTAGAACTATTAGAGTTTTTGCTGATTTGCTTGGCATATCTCCAGCAAAATAGTCCATTAGCATTCAAATCCTTTCCCAATAATTGAGACAATCAATTTACATTAAACAAGGCACAAATATAATTTTATGTACAATTTAAATTCTATAGAAAATAATCAGTGTGCAATAAAGAGGGACACTTATTTTGATGCAAAGGGGTGTTTTTATAGTCTGCATTAAACAGATCTTTCATATTTTCAAAATAGTTCCCTCATTATCTTTGGTGTTGAAGAGCTCTATTGTGTTTTATTTTGATGTAGAAACAAGTGTGTGTCCCTGGCTGCATGTTTGATAAGCAATGTGACTTTCTCCCAGTGGCATTTAAATTGAAAGGATTGAGATAGAATAAGGTATGTACTTCTTGCTATTTAACATGGAATTATTCTTATAAAAAGGGCAAAGAGGTTGCATGTTGAGTTCATTGCCTTTGTGCCAGCATTAGAAATGGGCATCATGCATTCATATTTACTTTTTTGTACTAGACCAGGTACCTATTTCTCTGCCAGAGATTGTGTGTTGGATCCTAGGAAAATGGCCCAGAGGGATTTGGGAAGGATGCGTAGCATGGGGGTGAAATTGCCATGGTTGTTTGCCTTTGTGCTAAGAGTTCCTGGGAAAGCTTCAAACCTCCAGCAAGTGGCCTCACAAGGTGGCCGGACTCCATCAGTGTGCCTGAGTCCTCCACAGTTCTCATTTGCAAGCTCTTAATGAGACTGGTATTATTGGTCAGGAAATCTAGAACACTGGAGAAATATTATTAGGAAGACTATAGTAAAAATAATGACAAGATAGAAAACAAATCCTGTCGGAGCCGGAGAATATATTTGGCTTCCTCTTGCTGTGTCTGTCTGTTTCCATAATGGTCCAGAATAGAAACCGGATGTTTAAAATCTCTCTCCCTTTCACATGCTCCCTCCCCTCCTGTCTTCCTTCCTCTTCAGTATTAGTAGACTTACTATTTTTATTATTTTTTATTTATATTCCTAGTTTTCAATATTTGCCATTTGTGTGGATAACACATTAATTTTTAATGAAATATTTTCAGACTCTTGGAAGTCTTTGAATAGCTGAATCATAAAAGAAAACTTGAAATTGGTGTATAGACTCCAAGGGAGCATATAAACTGAATATTACACTTGTGTTATTTTTCCCACTGACAAATGGCAAGTGGTTGTTTTAAAAGATGATATGTACTTAGATTTAAATCTTTTACCTTTGTATATGAGCCTAGTTTGTATAATTTTTGTGGCACAGAAGGTAATTCAGATACCATTTTAATTAATAATTAAAATGAATAAGTATCAAAATAATATGTTAAGCAATGTGTACTCCACTAATTTCCTTTTTATCTAAAAACATATTTTTGGCAAGCCACATTACTGGTAAAGCAATTCAGGTGTGACTTAAACTAAGTCTTGGGCTTAACATTATTTTACTTATGTTGCAGAGCTAAAGATTTTAAAGAAGGTAGCATTTGTTTCTTTGGGTACTTTATTTTCTCCAGTCAATAATTATTTTTAGTTTGTATTTGTGAAGTAAAAATCAGTACTGGAAATTATTTAATTTTGTATTACATGCTATTCCCAAAACTATAGCTTTGTTTATAATCCACTTTGTAACTATAAATTAATAAGAATGTTTTTTTCAAAAGTATTTTTATTATAGAAAACATGGATATTTAAGGCATAACATCCTGTAGATCTTTTCTCATTCTCAAATTATAAGGATACCAATTATCAATTTTGTTAACTTAAATCTCATTTTATCAGAAAATCATAACAAGTGATGTATATGTTGGGCTGAGACATTTCCTTTGTGTATGGATCACCTGATTTGGAGTGCCACATTGTTTTCCTTGGATAAACCACACCCCAAATGGATCTTTTGGTTTCACTAAACCAGTTGAGGACATAGACACTTAGGAAGCAGCCTTCTCTCAGAATTCGCTATTTTTAATTACCCTATCCCCACCAAGTCTTTTACATTTATTTCAGGCACACCTAATTGGACTGACTTAGTGGTAGGAGGGTGAGGATTCAGCTTTGTTGAATCTTCCTAAACATTCCATTTTGTTTTCATGGAATCAGCAACTCTTTTTTTTTTTTTTTAACAATTAAACTTCTGAGTTCACTAACATTAAATTACATTTATTTAAGCAGCATAAACAGGCCTGGGAAGAAACACAGCTGGGTTTGGGAAGTGTAACACAACTGGTGGGGGCAGAAGTGCCCATTTGTGCTGGAGAGCAGCAGGCATTGGCCACAGTACTGAGTGTGCTGTGGACATCATCCACTGTGTTTGACAGAGGGAAAAATGAATCACTGTGTTGATTCATTAGGTGTCAGGGTAAGTGGCAGTCCATTCAGAGAGCATCTACTGTACTTTGGGAGGAACTACTGGAGTGAAGATGTACAACATATCTGGTTTATAAGAAGAATCTGCATTGCATTGTCTATGAATAATCTTTCCTATCAGAGAGAGGCCAACCTGGAGGCAGAAGAAAGAGAACTTTATCTGTTCCCTTCTTGCTTTCTGTGTCCCTTAGTTAAGAATGCCAGCCTCCATGCCAGTGGAGCATTCTTATCCCAGACAAACTCTCCACAGCTGCCTGGCAGTAAAAGCAGTGGCCACCATGCAGTCTAGGGAATACCCTGTACAGGTTTTCAGGTGACCTGCTGCCCCTGGGGCTGCCGCCATGCTGTCGCAGACAGGGAGCTGAACTTACTCCTTGCATAAATTCATGGAAGGACTACTTTCTTAGGAGCTTGTTCTGCTAAAAATACAAATGGTTTCAAAATGGGTTTAGATAAATTCTTGGATTGAGAACCCATGTCTTGTTCTTATAGAGTATTATGAATGCATTAAATCTCATTCCTATGTAGTGAATGAACAAATCTATAGGTGATGAACAACTATTCTCTCTCTAAATTGAGTGACTATAATCCTTCCACTTTTCTTTTTATTTTGGGGGGGAGAGGATCTGAACATCCAAAACATTTTTCTTCCTTAATTAGGTCTTAGTATTTATCATGATGATGATTATAGCACACAGCTGCTTCACGAAAAAAAAAAAAAAATGCTGTGCAACTGCCTCTTCACGCCTTTGCTATGCTTGCTGTGGCCCAAAGGGGTGGGGCAGTGTTTTTCCAAAGATGTTCTGTGGACAGTCAGTCCTTCAAAGATGGTCTTTGAATAAAGGATTGCGTGGTTTTTTAGTTTAGGGACATATTGCATAAACTATTCACTTTTTAGAGAGTAAAAATATATATTAGCATATTAAAAGCCTTGATAAGTCTTAGGAATTATTAACTACTTTTAAAATTTAAATTAGTTTTAGTTAAAATAATGATATAAATTAAAATGTTTGTGACAATTTAAAACTTTACAGAGAATGATAAGAGGATATGGCATAAATGGCAACAAACTGTCCTGTGGGCTGTTGTTGGGGAAATGTCACATACCCCAACCCCAAGAGTGCGAATGGTATCATGTGGCATTTCTTAGAAGAGCTGACTAGTTACTGCCTGACTTTGTGACCATCTTCCACCCTTGTATCCCAACCCAGGCTTTATTATTTATTTATTTATTTTATTTTAGCGTATTATGGGGGTACAAGTGTTAAGGTTACTTATGTTACCCATGCCCCCCTTCCCCCTCGAGTAAGAGCTTCAAGCATGTCCATTCCCCAAACGTTACACATCTTACTCCTTGTGGTTGTGTATACCCTCCCCGTCCCACCCTCCCGACACCCGATAAATGTTACTCCTATATGTCCACTTAGGTGTTGATCCGTTAATACCAATTTGCTGGTGGGTACATGTGGTGCTGGTTTTTCCATTCTTGAGATACTTCACTTAGTAGAATGGGTTCCAGCTGTATACAGGAATATACAAGAGGTGCTATATCATCATTGTTTCTTAAAGCTGAGTAGTACTCCATGGGATACATATACCACATTTCACTAATCCACTCATGAATTGATGGGCACTTGGGTTGTTTCCATAGCTTTGCGATTGTGAATTGTGTTGCTATAAACATTTGAGTGCAGGTGTCTTTTTCATAAAGTGACTTTTGATCTTTTGGGTAGATGCCCAGTAGTGGAATTGTTGGATCAAATGGTAGATCTACTTGTATCGCTTTGAGGTATCTCCATATTGCTTTCCACAGAGGTTGAACTAGTTTGCAGTCCCACAAGCAGTGTAGGAGTGTTCCTCTCTCTCCACATCCACACCAGCATTTGTTGTTTGGGGACTTTTTGATAAAGGCCATTCTCACTAGAGTTAAGTGATATCTCATTGTGGTTTTGATTTGAATTTCCCTGATGATTAGAGATGTTGAACATTTTTTCATATGTTTGTTGGCCATTATTCTGTCTTCTTTTGAGAAGTTTCTGTTCATGTCCTTTGCCCATTTTTTGATGGGGTTGTTTGATTTTTTTCTTGCTGATTTTCCTAAGTTCTAAATAGATTCTAGTTATCAGCCCTTTATCAGATGTGTAGCTTGCAAAAATGTTCTCCCATTCTATGGGTTGTCTGTTTGCTGTCTTGACAGTTTCTTTGGCTGTGCAGAAGCTTTTTAATTTCATTAGGTCCCATTTGTTTATTTTTGTTGCTGTTGTGATTGCCTTTGGAATCTTCTTCATAAATCCTTTGCCTAGGCCAATGTCTAGAAGAGTATTTCCAACATTTTCCTCCAGAATTCTAATAGTTTCACACCTAATGTTCAAGTCTGTTACCCAGCGTGAGTTTATTTTTGTGAGAGGTGAAAGGTGTGGGTCTTGTTTCAGTCTTCTACATGTGGCTATCCAGTTTTCCCAGCACCATTTATTGAATAGAGATTCTTTTCCCCAGTGTATGTTTTTGTCTGCTTTGTTGAAGACTAGTTGACTATATGAGGATGGTTTTATATCTGGGTTCTCTATTCTGTTCCACTGGTCAATGTCCCTGTTCTTGTGCCAGTAAAAAGCTGTTTTAATTACTATAACCTTGTAGTATAGTTTGAAGTCTGATAAATTGATACCTCCTATTTTGTTTTTATTGCCTAGGATTGATTTTGCTATATGGGGTCTTCTCTGGAAAAATGATGATGGTATTTTGATAGGGATTGTGTTGACTCTGTAGGTCACTTTGGGTAGTATAGACATTTTAACAATGTTGATTCTGCCAACCCATGAGCATGGTATATTCTTCCATCTGTTTATGTCCTCTGCTGTCTCCTTCTTCAGTATTTTATAGTTCTCCCTGTAGAGGTCTTTTACCTCCTTAGTTAAATATATCCCAAGCCAACCCAGGCTTTAAATTTCACTGTAGTGCGTGGCACAATTACCAAGTCCTTGCTTTCTAACTCATGG